TGAAATAGAAGGAATTGGTTGTGGTATTCTACTGCACAGAAAGGTGGCTACTATTGACAATAATTTACTAAACAGTTAAAAATAGCTAGAATATTGGATTTTAAATTTTCACAATGAAAATAAAGATAAATATTTGAGATGCCAAATATACTACCCTGATTTGCTCATTATATAACGTATGCATATACTCTGATATCACATTGGTTATGACACAATGTATACATGTATTAAAACATCACATTATAATCCTGTCAATTTTTTTTTCTTTTGGTGGAACAAGGGATTGAACTCATGCCCTTGCGCTTGCCAGAGAAGCGCTTATTCCACTGAGCCATTTCCCCCAGCCCAATCCTGTCAATTTTACAAATTAATAATATCAATGAAAAAATGTGTAGGAAAAGCTGGTGTAAATACAGTCTCAGGGGCTGGCGAGATAGCTCAGTGGCCTAAAGTGCCTGCTTAGGCAAGCTTAGGCAAGTTCAGGGACTGCAGTTCAATCCCTGATCCCTGATCCCCGGCACTGCATGTCATGGCGGGCTGAGCCAGCCAAAAACAAAAAACAAAAAACTCCAAAATAATACCAGTCTCAGAACACTCAATGTATAAGACAATGGAAGTGACTCTAAAAAGGAAAAAACAAAAGGAATATAAGGGCTGGCCAGATAGCTCAGTGGACTAAGGTATCTGCTTAGGCAGGCTCAGGGACTGGGGTTGTATTCCCAGCATGCCTTGCCATCCCCTTCCCCAGGGCATGCTGAGACATTGGTTGGTAGCGTGTGCCTGTAATCCCAGCACTTGGGAGACTGAAAACAGGAGAATCACTATGAGTCCCACCTACATAGTGAGGCCCTGTAGACCTTGTACTAAATACATAAAAAATTAAAATGGAGTATACAAAACAATCTTCTAGATATCATAGTCCTATATAAGAGTTTCCTGTTCACTGTTGTATAAGAGTGTATGGGCACACCTGAATGGTAATATAGAGCTTCTTTCCTCCTCTCTTCATATAACCTGGAGAACTTTGGGCATTGAAACTATTCGTAGTGCCTGTTCATTGCACAAAAACAGGACATTGACTGAGACATCCAGGCTACTTTCCAGAGGCCATAATTTCACTCTCAAAATTGATGAACCTTTTTTTTTTCATTTTTTTTAAAAACCCAATTTCTCTAATAGCATGCTGGTATAATATTCTTTTTGGTATAGTATCTTAAAATTTTACTCGTATTTAAAATCTACTATGACTACTTTAATGTAAAATGTAGCTGAATGTTGCACTGTTGCACTAAATTGCCCAGGGAGAAGGACGAAGAAGGTCTGCATTGCCTGGTTTTTTGTCAGGTATGCATTAGTGAGTTTGTAAATGTCTCTTGTGAGTACTTAGGACAGCATGGTTAATATATTTTGCCAGTAGCACCATAGCAATTGTATTAGGTTTGTTATAATTACATATAAGCAGAATAAATGGAGAAAGGACAGTAAAAGTTCTACTTCAATTTTTGTGCTGTTATATCTGGTAATAATAAACAACTAATTTGAAGACAACACTATGTGATACAACAAATACTGTGAAATTTATATTATTTTGTTTAGTGAAATTCTGTATCATTTGTAATTTTTCTTTTTTAATTCTTTTCTTTTGTATTTTAGGGAAGGGTCTACAGGGTGTTCAGGGTCTCATTACTAGATCGGACTGATAGTGATCCACCTGCTTACAGCCTCCCAAGAGCTGGGATTACAGGTGTGTGCCACCATGTCCAGTCTTAATTGCCTTTGCCTTCTCAGTGTGCCCCAGGGGAGGGGCTGGCACAGCAAGCTCCAAGATTGAGCTCCAGCCCCTGTGCCTGCTTGCAGGCGCTTTAATCCGCTGAGCCATTTGGCCGGCCCTGTTTTAATACTATTTTGTACTCTCTTCACAACATAAAAATTTAAAAAAGATTTCTGTGTGCTGGGAGTTAATTGTAAGCTAATTGGCAAACTTTTTGTGCCAGGGATCAAACTCAGGTCTTGAGCATACTAGGCATGCATTAACCCACTGAGCTACATTCTTACTCTCAGCAAACTCTGAAACACTGAAGTTTCTGGGAAACACACCAGTTAACATTAAATGAGTCACTACAGAAGCATGAGAGCTAAAGGCTACTAATCCCCTAATCCCCTTCCCCAGTCCATATCTTATCTTCTGCTTGGTTATGTATCTACCAACACAAACATATACATGCTGGGGCGGGGAGAAAGAGACAGAAACAGAAAGAAACAGACAGAGAAAAACAAAGGCAGACAAAGGCTGAAAGACAAAAAGGGGAGAGACAGAGAAGACAGAAAGGAGATAGGGGAGAGGGGAGGGGAGGGGAAGGGGAGGGGACTGGTGAGGAAGAAGGAGGAAGAGAGGGACAGAGAAGGGCACCAGGCAACATTAGCTAAGGCTACACAGGAGATGCAGCTCAGAAACAGGAGAGGGAAAGATCACTTCCAGCTGACCAGAATCTAAGATAACAGGGATGACAGCAGGAAAGGACTTGCATATAAGGACAATTAGAGGAATGAAAAAGGAATGCTTGTGACACAGCGAGTGAGGCAAAGAAATGCATGAATAGGTTGGTAATGTGTATTTTGGGGCTCAGTCCTGATGGGTGCTTAATGTGAGAATAAAAACACTGCAATTTGCTGTGTGAGTGGCGAGCTTGCCAGGGAAGGCCTCTGGGAAGGAGGCTGAGTTGAAAACACACAGTGAAGTTTCAGTTGAAGGCTGTATGAGATCAGTTGGAAAGAGAAACGGAGATACTGGAGGCAAGTAGTTCAGACATGAAATGATAGGGGCCTAAACCTATACATAAATGTATATGTCAGCTTTCTTCATTTTCGCTCAGTACTGGGAATAACTCATATATCCTTCATTTATTCCTGCTTAATAAATCTTAAACTCAATCACAAGACACAAGAACACTTCAAGTGTTTCACCATGAGTTATTTCCCTACAAACAAAAATTTTATTTGTGAAAAACAAAATGCTTCAGCAGATGAATGGATACACTGTGGAATATCCAAATAACAATACTGTTCAGTAAAAAGAAGAAGATGAACTACTGCTGCATACAACAACTTAATTGGATGTGGAGGGCATGATACTGAGCGAGAGAAGCCAGTCTGAAAACCTTATAAATTGTCTAGAATCACTTATATACATTCTGAAAAAGACAAAGCTGTAATAATAGGGTATAAATCAGTAATTGTCAGAGTTTAGGGATGGAGGTAAGATATGGCTAGAATCAGGTAACCTGAAGGAATTTGGAGGTGGCGATTCCCCATTAAGTGGTAACATCTGGAAGACTGGAAATAATTGTTGGTAGGTAATGTTAAGTCTTTATAATTTGCTTGCTATATTTATATTAAATATTCAAATAATAGCAAATGTATCTATCTGTGAAATAAAAACCTCAGACTTAAATATAAATTATAAAACATTAAGCCAACAGAATATTTTATAGACTTTTTTTTCTCCCTGGTGGGTTCTATTGTTGGTTAAGGCATGCTGCTGTGATCACCCTAGATAAAAGACCCTTGCTACACTCCCTCTTCTCCATTCTCCAGCTGGCTTCACTGGTATCACTACACCTCCAGGTGCCAGTGAATTCTGATTTGGGAGATCAGTTTGTTCTTTAAAGTAATACTGCTTTCTTACAGCAGTGGTGCTTCCTGCTTTCTCATCATAACAATTACATGTGTTAATAGTTTTTAAATGCAGCACAGTAAACAAACCAGAGTATCTAGAATGCCATGAGTGAATGAATGAAAATGACACCTGCTAAATAAATCTGACACTCGATGACAAGACACAGGAACACTTTCATTCTGAGTGTTTCACAATGAGTTATTTCCCTACAAACATTTAAGTTTCAAGAACAAAATGCTTCACAATAAAACAAGTTGAGTTCCAAATAAAGTCCAGTAGGTGGAAACTAGGCTTTTCAGTGGATTCATTTGATTACCAAAAGCATTGGAAACTACAGATGCTTAGGAGGCACTCACATTAAAAAGCATAAGTGGAAGCCACAAGCATTCATCAATGAAATGGTAAGATATCTGTAGCCAGACCTGGTGGCCCACACCTGTAGTTGCAGTGCTGAGTTAGAGGAATTTTAAGTGTGAGTTCTGCCTTGGCAAATTATAGAACCCTGTCTCAAAATTTTAAAAGGAGTGGTGGAATGTAGTTTAGTGCAAGGCCCTGTATTTGATTCCCAGTGCTTGGAGGGAAAAAAACATCAGCTATGTAAGACACGATTACTTCAATTCAACCAGAAAGAAAAACTAATATATCATTTGTACAAAATTGCTGAAAGGAAAATAGAGGCCTCCTGCCACAGATTAATTTAGGAGGTTCTTTAAAAAAGACTTTTTAGTAAGATTAAAAAATTCTAACACATCAATATGCTATAAAGTCATAAAGTTACTGTCATTTGACTTTTAGCCATTAGGAAACTTTATCTGGTCTTAAAAATCAATTTTAGCTAACCTAATTTTCCCTCTACATTAAGTGCTAAATACTGTTTGTGAGATATTCATTTTTAATATCATTTTGAAAAGTACACTAATTGCTTAAAACACGAACTATTCAAGAGTGCTAGTGAAATCCTATTCTCACCTCCAGATTCTTTTCCCACCCTCCCTCTCCCTACCCTTAGTCATTTTAATGCAGGATAGGATTGCAGAGGAAATGGTGGGCCTTGGGCTGGGGGAGGGGAGTGGGGGATTGGGAGCCAATAGAAAGAGATGATTTCCTAAAGAATGAGAAATGGTCTATTAACACTAAAAGGATTGCTCTTAGCTGGTAATTGGAAAAAGACGAATAGATACTCCAGGGCGAAGTTACCAGTTTTATTGTCTCTGATTGGCAAATACGACCACGAAAAGATTGACTATATCAAGGAGAGGGAATGTAGGGGGCGGGCTGCTGTGCTAAGTAAGGGGAGGGGTAACTGAGGACCCGAGCTCATTGATGACGCGGCCCTCACGTGACTAGGAGTCGACGTGTGCAGAAATCCGTATAGTCCAGGCCTGTTTCCCTGTGGCAGCTCCGCCTTGCTGGAGAAGGAAAGTGCGCCGGATCCTTTCAGGTAGCCTAAAGGTAAGCGCTGATTCGGAGACCCTGGCGTGGAGGAGGAAGAAAGCAGAAAAACAGCGGGCCGGTCCTGTTTGCCCTATACTACTGTTCCACCAAACTTCCATTTTGCACAGGAAATTTGGGGTTTGGTGGGGGTGGGGTAGAGGAGAAAGGTAATTAATTGTCGGGGGCTGGGAGAGAGAGGAGAGGAAAAAGGATAGAGGGACGGGGAAGGGGGAGACAGGGAGTGGGAAAGAGAGAGAGAGAGAGAGAGAGAGAGAGAGAGAGAGAGAGAG